CATTTAGAGCTGGGCGGAAGACCCAAATAAAACCTTCATGACTGTCCTGTTTCCCAAGTATTCTGTGAGGCAGGAGTACCTGTAGATCCAATCCAGTCTACAGGCAGGAATACTTGTAGATCCAGAGTTGGGAGTTCATGTCACATGGCCAGGCAGAAGAAGGAGCAGGTATAGGACATCGCCCAGATGTTATGAATCACCGCTCCTAAATAAGGATGAGCATGGAGGAAGAGATGATTGCAGTTACACCTGATGTGATAAAGTGGTGGAAGCCAGCTTGCTCTGAATTATGACTCTTCGATTAGATAGGGCCATTTCTGGTGCTCTTGATTCTTTGCTGTGGAATCATTTCCTTTGGGTATGAAGAACATCTGTAGCATACTTTGTGTTGTAGTTCTGCTAGCTTGTGCATATGTGAAAATATCCTTATCTCACTCTCACATTTGAAGGATATCTGTTCCCCTTCCCTGGAGATCCCCAGCCACTATGATTTGCTTTCTGTCACAAAGATAAATTTGTATTTTCTAAAATCTCATGTAAATGGAAACATAATATGTATTCTTTTTTTTTCTGTCTAGCTTCTTTAATGCAGGATCAAATTTTGAGATCTATTCTTGTGCATCAGTAGTTCATTCTTTTCTGTTGCTGAGTAGTATTTCATTGTATGGCAATTTGTTTATCCCTTCACCTGTTGATGGGTAATTGGGAGGTTTCCATTTTTAGCTATTACAAAGAAAGCTGCCATGAATATTTGTGTACAGGTCTTTGCATGGGTAGATGCTTTATTTTCTCTTGGGTAAACACCCAACAGTTGAATGTTTATTTTCACTGAACTGCTAAACTATTTTCCAAGGAGTCGTACTATTTTACATTATCACTAGATGTGGTAGACAATCAGGGATACACAACTAAATAAGGCCCAACTGGCTTCCAATCTTTCTCTCCTTAAACTATTGCTATACACAGTCACAAATTCAATCCACAATCATGGGACATGGACTTCACTAAGTGGGCAAGGAGAAATCACTAAAGTTGTCTGGAAGTGGGCTCAGAGAATTGTTATTTGGCAGAGAATCCTGTGACCCAGAGTACTTGGAAATAGTCTGGAGGTGGAAAGCTGTGGCTATAAGTAGGCATTTCCCTGGACTCAAAGGATTTTTTTCCTTTGTGGAGAGGTATGGCCAAAGGATGACCAGAGTGGGGCCCTCTAAGGCAGCGTTTTTCAACCGCTGTTCCGCGGCACACTAGTGTGCCGCGAGATGTTGCCTGGTGTGCCTTAGGTGTAGACAAGACAAGAATTTTATAATTTTTCACTATTTTGTTTACTTAATATTTCATAATAAAGTAATTATAAAATACTTTCTTTGTGTTTATTTGATTCCTATTCAAGAGAATTACTTTATATATAGTCAATATAGGCACAGAGTTAAATTTTTTAACATTTTCTAATGGTGGTGTGCCTCATGATTTTTTTCATGAAACAAATGTGCCTTTGCCCAAAAAAGGTTGAAAAACACTGCTCTAAGGTATGGCACTCAGGAGACCACCCCTTGCCAAGGTCCAAGGACTGAACTATTCCTCTCCTTATCTATCCAAATTCTGACCACCTTCAGAACTCATCCTAAGTCATCCCTCCTACTGCATCTTCCATCACTGTGGCAGTTCTGTTTGTCTCTTTCTTCTCGACTGTTTTCTATTTACTACTTTTGTTTGTATTTATCACTTTCCCAACTTGTCTATAAGCTTTTGAGTCCACCACTGTGTTCTTTTTTGTCTTCATATGTCCAGCAAAGTGCTATGTACACAACAACTGGTAAAGATGCTGGTTGAATGAAGTGCTGCAGGTTGTTGTTTGTTTTTTCTTAGCTCCTAGGTTATGGTGTTAGTCTTGAGAGATTGCCCTGCATGCTTTTGCATTTACAAATATAGAACCCAGTGTATAGCTACTAATTTATTACCCAAGCTCTTCTCATCACCTTTGCTAAGCATTCATCCTTAGCTGACTAACACTATCTAAACTCCATACTTACACTGTGTTTTACCAATCCAGGGTAAGTTTTTATCTGATCTCATCTCACCATTGTCTTTTTACATTACATTCTTACTAACTGTATTAAGTAACCCAGAAATAAAGAAGTAATTTTTTTAGGTTTCTGATTTTCCCAGCTTTGGCTTTATTGCTGTCGTACTGGTCACAAGAGACTTGGCCATAAACATTTCCCAAGTCATGTCTCAGTGTGTTCGCAAGTGCTGATCCTTCTCCCTCAGCGGCTCTCTTTCCTCTCTCTCTCTCTGGATAATCTGGGCTCTTTCAGAACTCGGTGGCAGCAGCAGTTTTCTGGAAGGCTTCTCCTTTTAAGAGATCTGAGTTAAATGTCCTACCTCTATGTTCTCTTTTTTTGTTTCATGTGTACAGCATAATGATTTGATATTTTCATATACTGCGAAATGACTACCACAATAAGTCTAGTTATATATAATACATAGTTATAGATATTGTTTCTTATGATGAGAACTTTGAAGATCTACTCTTAGCACCTTGCAGATATACCACAGGGTATTACCTATAGTCACCCTACTGTACATCTTCATGACTTATTTATTTTATAACTGGACGTGTGTACCTTTAGGCCACCTTCACCCATTATGACCCCCCACCACAGCCCCACCTCTGGCAACCACCAACCTGTTCTCCGAGTTTGTTTTTTGTTTTATTTTATTTTTCATATGTAAGTGAGACCATACGCTATTTGTCTTTCTCTGACTTACTTATTCACTTAGCATAATGCCCTCAAGGTCCAGTCATGTTGTCAAAATGGCAAGATTTCCTTCTTTCCTATGGCTGACTGGTATTTCCTTCCCTGGGTTCTTACAGTACATCCCTTTAAACCTTTCTCAGCACACTTAAGACACTAGGTAATTGTAGATTTACTTCTCTATTATCCTATGTGAAGATAGGGACCTATCTCATCTGACTTTGTATTTCAGCATTTAGTATGGTGCTTACAGCACAGTAATGTTTAGATAACTGGTCAGTGAGTCAGTGAATTAATGACAAAGAATGGAATGCCCCTTCTCATTCATTTTCTTCACTCTGCTCTCTCTTCACGGCTTCCCTCATTTACTTTTATTTCCGCTCTGAGTACGTTTTTGCAAGGTTATAGGAAGAATAAAATCTTTGTGACCTTTAATTAGAGTGTTCTTAGGTCTACAGTTGCTGGAAAATGGATTTTGAACCTTAGCAAACAAACTGAAAATGTTTAAATATTTGTGGGTAGGTGTGGCAGTGAAAGAGAGATTTTAATTTGTTATGAGGGTGGGTAACGTTTTGCTCAAGAATTAGTAAGTAAGGTTTTGCTTACGTCAGTAAGGTTTTGCTTAAGAATTAGTGATCTAGACAGAGCTTCCCTATTCTAAAGGCAACAAAAGTCAGTCTGTCACACTAGATATTAGGTAACTGATCTTTTTCAAGCCTGGAGGTCTCTTGAGATGCCCTTCATAGAAGCCAAAGATAAAAACACTTTAAAAACTTAAAGTTTTGTCCTAGCCAGTTTGGCGTAGTGGTTAGAGAATCAGCCTGTGAATCAAAGGGTCCCAGGTTTGATTCTAGTCAAGGGCGCATACCTTAGCTGCAGACTCCTCCCGGCCAGGGCCCTGGTCAGAGTTCCTGCAGGAGGCAACCAATTGATGTGTTTATCTCACAATGATGTTTCTCTCTCTATCTTTCCCTCTCTCTTCTACTCTCCTTAAAAATCAATGGAAAGGTGTTCTCCGATAAGGATTAACAACACACACACACACACACACACACGCATGCATAACTCAAAACTTCAAGCTTTGTTTATCCCAGATACTCTTTATATTGATATCAGGGAATATCAAAGTCCCTAATACACTGACCAGCAGTAGTAGGTACTAATGAATGTTAGTCTCTAATACTCATCCTCCTTCCTAAAGTTCCCAACGACAATGACCTAAGTTTCCTTGAAATTTCTCTTAGGATCTGATAAGGAATAGGCCCAAATGGTGAGTGCCAGTTACTAAACATGTAGACCTTCTCTTCAGATACCAGTAAATTAATTTCCCTCTCTGGCATTTACATTTTCTCTGAGAATGAAACGCTCTTGACTGCAGTCCAGCTATTGACAATAGAGTGTTCTTTCTGAACTGAGGGCCTTCACACTCAATGCACATATAGTCAGGGCCCACCCCATTGGCCCAGAGTCCTCATCAAAGATTTCTTTCCTAGGAACGTTGGGAAGTACTCTGTCTCTAGTTCGCTTTGCTTGAGAGGGGCCGGGAACACCTCAGCAGGTCTTTTGAGCCGTATTATAGCAGACCAGCATGAATAGGAGCTGAATCTAGTGCCTGAATCTAGTGCTTAAGACTGGTTTATCAGTCTTAAGATTCTTAGCAGAAATTCTCCAGTTCCAATCTGAATCCAGTTAAAGTGGCAATAATTAATCTTTGTACCCTAGTGACACAATTTACTGTAATATTAAATAGATGTTAATGCATGAAAAAGTTTTGAAAACAAAATATAAAGATAATGGAAAAATTACTATAATGCTTAATTTCCTTATTTGAAAAGGAAGTGCCATTTAAAGCATTAGCAGGAGCTACTTGAAATACAATTCAACTGAATTTCACTATATCCTGTAGGTTAGATTTCCCTGTTGCTTGCACACACTTCTGTTAACTGTAACAATAGAAGTTACTTATGGAGCCACTTATACCCCTAAGCATTGTAGAGGGAAGTAGAATTAAGGCCAAATGTACCATGCCTGTTTTTCAGAATTCTTCTTGCCTAAGGAAATGAAAGAGGAATTGTTTGCTTCCATATCTTTCGAAGCTTGTGAGAAATGAGGCTACATTTACTGATTCAGTTTCCTGAAATCTTTGCAGTCAAATGTCCTTGAGCCCAGGACCCTTGGAGATTCTCCTAACTGCACATTGTTAATAGTGATTTACTTTAATCATTGTTTTCTTTATCTTTTCAGGAGCTTCTAAAGGCCTTTGATGATAAAATCAATGCTTTTTTGGACAATATGTTTGGACCTCGAGGTGAGTGAGTTACCCGAGAACTTAATATGGAAGGAACACAGTATTTTGTAATAGAAGAGGATTATGTCTTGAAAATAGTATGGTACCTAATGTGTAGAGACTTAACCACTCTCACCTTTGACATCCTTCTCCCAGAACATCCAAAAGCCTCGCTTCTCCTGAGATTGAAGTTCTGGGCGTAGGAAGCAGAACTAGAGTGCAGTGCAATGTTTTCCTTTGGTGTCTGTCTGTCTACCAAAGAGGGTAGTAGCTTTCCTTCTAAATGTATGTTGCTTCTCTCCTGGCTGTACTGTCCACTCACATTCTACCTTCCTCACATGCAGTCACAGATAGTCTTTCTGCCCTCGCTCTCTGAGCGTTCTCTGCCCAGGCCCCTTAGGTTGAGCTTCTAAACGCTCAGTCATTCCTGTCACCAGTCTCTATGACTACTGCAATGTGCCAGTTGATGTATACTTAGTGACTCTTCCCTCTCAACTCAGCACTGAGGGTTGTAAGTTATCCTAACTAGTCTCCCCCTTCCAATCACTTATTAACTGTCAGTGGAATAATACTTTAAAAGCTTAAGTCCTAGTATGTGGTGCTCTAGCTTAACACCCAGGGCCCTTTCAGGTAAAAGCCAACTTTCTTATATGGACTGCCCACCTCTGTACACCTAGCCCCAGCTCTCTCCCACACTCAGTGCTACTTCCCCACTCACTTTGACCTTTGATGTCTTTTACTTTCTCAAATGTATAAAGTTCTTTCACATGCTGCTCCTTGAGCCTAGAATTCCTCCTCATTCATCCTCTAATATACTTCTGGTACCAGCTTAAATGTTACCTTTTTCTCTAACAAAGATATCAGGGAATTTGCCCTTCTAAAGTAGACCTCTTATTATACTCTGTTTCAGACTCTGTTTATTCCCTTCATAAACAACCTTATTGTCATTAATAGCTCTTTCTCCCGTGAGGACAAGAACTGTGACTGTTCTCTCCAGTGCTTATTACAGCTCCAAGAAAATAGTAGGCACTATGTATTTTGCAAATAAATAAATAAATAAATAAATAAATAAATAAATTCTAAACAACATGTTTTGTTTCACTTAAGCCTTGCTGTATCACAAAACTGTGAAAAATCTGCAAATTATTTTCTCAGCACTATTGGTTGAGGGAGAGGGGATAAAGAGATTTTCTGTTTCTCAAAACCTTTGAATAGAATCACTTAGAGATTATTTAGACCATTCACCAGTTTCTGTTCTAATTGAATGACTATATAGTTTTTATTAAATGATACCCTGCGATTGTATAGAACATTAAAAAATACTTCCCCATTATCCTTGGTTCTGTTTTGCTTTTTCCTTTTCATCCTTGTAGTGACCCCATAGGACAGGCAGGGTGGGACACCGTGTCTGCAACCTATTCAGTTAATAGGTCTCTGCTCACAGCTGTAGTGGTGGTATAAAGGGCATGATTACTAACTTACACATGCAGGCTTCTTCGTGGCAGTGGCTTTCTACTGGTAGACACTCCCACTGGAGAGTTAAATAACAGTCTCTCTGAGGCAACTTCACACTGACCTTTGCCATTGGTAAGGTCATCTGGAATTATGTGGCTGTGGGATCAATTAAGGATAGTATTACATTTTACTCAGCTCTGGTCATTTTTATGGAAGTTTCCTTTGTAGCAAAGAGACTGTAAGGTTGGCATTTGACAACTGGATCAGTTGACCCCCACCATGACATCTAGACCATCATGAATTTTTGTCCCCTTCCTAAGCCACCTGGTAAGCTTCTAGGTGTCCCCAGGTCTTCTCTCATTTTACCTACCCCATATTAGTACCCTCAGAGGATGTTGTCCTGGGCACATACCTGACACAGATGAAGAGCTGACACCTCTCAAGTCCCAAAGATAGTGATATTCCAACTAGTATTTGCTCCCTTATTTTAGTTAGATCAGTTATGTTCCTCTGTCACAATTTTGGCAAATATTTCTAGGACTATGACATAAGGAAACAAAAACTTCAGGTGCTGTATTAGGTGTGCAATATGTGTTTGACTCAATGTGCCAATTAGTATACACTTAATTACATATTAGTATATTTTCTCTCAGCACTACATGGATGTAAGTTAATAAATGAGACAGAATTGAAATATAAGATGTAGTCTCTGTCTCATGGAGCATATACTGTAGTTGAGAGGGAAAAAGTAGCACATCTGAAACCATTGGAGAGCCATCAAGTAAACCAAGGGTATTCTTTCTATGGCTGCAGTAACAGTGCCACAGACCTCTGGCTTACCACACAGCAGTCTATTCTCTCACAACTCTGGGTGCTACAGGTTTCAAATAAAGGTGTTGGCACGGCTGTGTTCCCTCCTGAGTTCTAGGGATGAGTCTGTTCTGCCTCTAACTTCTGGGTGTTGCCAGCAATATTTGGCTTTCCATGGCTTATGGCTGTATCATTCTAATTTCTGCTTCATCTTCAGAGTGTCTCTGAATAAAAACTTCCTCTTTTAAAGACACCGGTCACCTGGTCAGGGGCCACCCTAATTCACTGTGCCCTCATCTTAACTTGATTACATCTGCAAAGACCTAATTTCCAAATAAGCTCACAATCACAGATATGAGGAGTTAGTGCTTAAGCATATCTTTTTAGGGACTACATTGAACCATAGTAGGAGGGAGAGTAGCAGTTTAATGCAAGTTATTTAATTTTTTATCCTCTGTAGCTCAGTTACTCTCAGGTGTAAACTGGAGGTAACATTATCACCTTGTATCTGTTATCCTGATTATGATGATGGCATCACTAGTGTGTGCATGTGTCCAAACTCATAAAATTGTACATATTAAATATTTATAGGATTCCGTGTCTCAATTATATCTCAGTAAAGTTACTACAAATAATATCACCTATATAATAAGATGGACTGAGAGTTAAGTTGATGCATGTAAAAGGCTTTAGAACAGTGTGTGCCACAGAATTAGTGCTCAGTACATGTTAGTTATAATAGTATTATAGCCATAATAACATAAATTATGAAGCGGTGATTATTTGATGCTGATGAGGAGCTGTGGTTATGAAAGAGCAGTAGGGTCTTAGATGTGGAGATACACATTAGGAAGTGGCACATAGCACAGCCTTTTATGACTGATAATTACGAGCTAGTCTGTGAAAGGTAATGCCTGTTAGTCACTTGAAAGCTCCTTTCTTACCTTTTTATCCTTATCATCAAAGGGGAAAGTTTGTAGGATAAGTGATGGGACAGAGCTTGAAAAGACACTTTCCGTAGAAGTGGCACTCTGGAAGATGGTGGTTTAAAGAGAGGCTGGTGGACAGGGTGGGGTAAAGCAGAAAGAGAGACTGAGGCTGAGGAAACCACAGAGATCAAGAAAAGAGCATTGTCTCTGGAGAAACCAGCTCCTTGCAACTCTTTACAGCACGCCATTTTTATAATCCTAGGCTAAATAATTTTCTTTATTTAAACAAACAAAACAAACAAACAAAAAAACAATATAAAGAACAAAAATCATTTATATGTCCATAATTATTTTCAGGTGTCTATTATGTGTGTGTGTGTGTGTGTGTTTTTAATCCTTACCAGAGGATATGTTTTTATGGATTTTAGAGAGAGAGGAAGGGAGAGGGAGAGAGAGAAACCTTGATGTGAACCATTTGCCTCCCCTACAAGTCCTGACCTGGAATCAAACTTGAAACGATTCGGTGTTTGGGAAGACACTCCAGACAGTCAGCTTCACTGGTCAGGGCTATTATGCATGTTTTGTTTAGGTTTTTAAATTTTCACTCTCCAGAATAAGGGACACTTGATGTCTCTAGGATCTTGCCTCCTGGCTGTTTGTACTCCTAGTCCCTGGCCAAACTTTGGGTGCTTAGCTTTATTTTCTGCTCTCAATTCTGAATCATCAGCTCCAAGGCTTTGGCTTCATTAGCTCAGCTCACATGCTTGTCATTCTGAATCTCATTGTGCTCTTTGGATCAGCTGAACTTAAACCACTCTTGGTTTGCTGCACAGTGATCCTAGGCAAGTTCTGGCCAGCGTAGGTTTTAGGAAATAGGACACAGTGTCAATAAGCTTTCCCTCCTATCTCCTCCAGGCTTCTCCCTAGGAGGCAGCAGCAAGGTATGGCGGGCTGGGCATCAGGTGTGAATTCAAATTCTGACTCTGCTGCTGACTATTGTATGGCCTTTGGCAAGTTCTTAAAGCTTTCTGAGCTGTTTTTTACTCATAAAGTGGCATATTTACTGAGTTAGTGTAAATAAACATAGTAATTATTTCAAAGTAGACATTCAAGAACTATTACTTCCCACCTTTGTTAATTTTCCTGTCATTCAGTTCCTTGATGCTGCATCACAGTGTCCCCTGTTGTATTTGGTGCGTACCACCAAAATGTATGTGCCAATTTATATATAATAATAATAAAAGGCAAAGGAGTGTCATGACCAAAACGACCAAATGACTGGTCACCAGAAGGTGCATGAAGTATCTCTCGGCCCGGCGCCCCATGGGGTGCCTCCTCACGGCAGCAAGAGGCGTAGCACCTCCTTGCATGATTTCTCGCGTTGGGCCTCTAGCCTACACTAATAAAACAGTAAGATGCAAATCGATCATACCTCTACGACATCCACCAGCCAATCAAGAGTGAGCATGCAAATTAACCCAACAAAGATGGTGGGTTAATTTGCACATGCAGGCACCGAGTGACCAATGGCGGGGTGGGATGCATCACCATGGTGATGATGCAGGTGTTCCTCACCACCCCAGCCATTCCAGGCCTCTGGGCAGCATGGGAAGGCGGAAAGGCAGATCCAGCTGGAACGAAGATGGTGCCAGCAGCTGGAGGAAGGAAGGCCCATTCTTGTACAAATCCTCCTGCATTGGGCCTCTAGTATAGTATTGTATAAAAGGCTAAGTGTCCATTCATCCGACTGGTAGTTATGATGTGCACTGACCACCAGGAGGCAGGCACTCAGCACAGGAGCTGCCATGATGCACACTGTCCATTTAAAAATAAATGGCACCCCAGACCTGGCATTGACAAACCAACACTTGGCTTTTCCCCAAGTGGGACACAGGTCTCACCACCACCCTGGAGCAACACCCCACCGAATTGCAGCCAACACTGCCAAGACCCCATGGTGCAAAAAGCGACCCACAGTCCAGCCCAAAAACGGTCACTGTGGGCACCGGGTAATGACGTCACATAGCAATGCCCCAGCATTTTCTCCCTAGTGAGTAGCATCTTTGGAGTTTCTTCAGTTCAGGAACACAACTTGCTTTATAGCCAGGTATAAACATTTTACACTATAACCAAATGTTTGTGAAACATTTTTCTGTGCCTCATCTTATTTGATCCTCACAGAAGTCCTAGAGTAGGTAGATAGGAGACTCAGTAGAATCCTATTTTCTTTTCATTAGCAAGATGCAAATAGTGATATTAAATATTTCTTCCAATTAATTTCCTTTCAATGTGCATAAATCCATTCACCAGGACACTAGAACCTTATTACTGAGCAGTGTTACTCTGCAGGATTCTCACTGTCTATGTTTCTTTTCAGATACTCGAGTCAGAGGATGGTTCATGTTGGACTCTTACCTCCCTACCTTTTCTCTTACTGTCATGTATCTGCTTTCAATATGGCTGGGTAACAAATACATGAAAAACAGGCCTGCTCTCTCCCTGAGGAGCATCCTCACCTTGTATAACCTCGGCATCACACTTCTCTCCATGTACATGTTGGCGGAGGTAAGTACTGGGGCAGCTAACTTGACTAAGTCCCATCACTGGGAGGCATTTAAGAGGCTCTACAGCAGTGGTTCTCAACCTGGGGGTCACCACCCACAGGTTGAGAACCGCTAGCAGGGTCACCTAAGTCCATCGGAAAACATAGATATTTACATTACGATTCATAATAGTAGCAAAATTACAGTTATGAAGTAGCAATGAAAATAATTTTGTTTGGGGGTCACCACAACATGTGGAACTGTATTAGAGGGTCGCGGCATTAGAAAGGTTGAGAATCACTGATATAGGAGAAACAGCAAGTGTCAAGTTCTTGAGGCGGTGATAAGCTTAGTGTTCAAGGAATAAACAAATAATGTAGCAAGGACACAGGACAGGAATGATTCAAGATGAGGTGGGATGTGGCAGATCAAATAGGGCCATGTAAGGCATTTGACTTTTACTCTAAGTATAATGCAAAGCTACTGGAGGATTTTACTGAGGGGAACAATATGATCTCCCTTTTAAAATAGATTATTCTGGTTGCTTTGTGGAGAATGGACATGAGAGTGAGTTGTGGGGCAAGAATAAAAGCAGAGTTCAGTTCAGATGCGACTGCAGTACAACAGTCAGCAGATGCTAGTGGCTTGGATTAAGTTGGTGGAGATGGAAAGAAGCCAGTGGATTTTAGCCGTACTTTGGAGTAGCCCTCGCCTCCTGAAGGCTAAGCCTGTTTGACAGCCTGGATTTCTTCAACTCCTAGGTTGGATGGCTCCTGCACACCAACCCAGCGAGGGGGTTAGGAAAGGTTCAGGGTGAGGCAGATAGAGCCTCCTGTGGCTTGGCTGCTTAATTCTGCTGTTAGCTCTTAAGTTGTCAGGTAGTTCTACAGAGGTGGCACAGGGATGGGGGTGGCCTGGATAAATCTAACTGAAGCAGGAAATGTCGTGGGGTACAGAATATAGACTGTCCTCTCCACTGTTATATTGTTAGGGTGCAGTGAAGAGACTAGAGCTCCTTTCTACAGAACTGTAAACTGTAGATGATATTAATTAGCCTTTCTGCACGGTGTTAAACAGCTTTCCTACTTGAAAAATGCACTAATAAACATAAATTCCCTATACTTTTAGGTATACCTAGATCTCTGTAGCCTGTCACTGGTTCCCACTTGAGCATCAAGTGCATAAAACTCTAGGGACTGTGGAGGGTGATTTGTAATAAATAGATCCCATCAGGAAAATTCAATCTTTTTCCTTTCACTGGATCTGTTTATCCTGGTAATCTCGTAATTATCATGATATTATCTGAAAAGTACTTTGGTTGGAGGGAAAGAGGTAAGTCAGGATAGTACAGTAAAAACAAGGATTCTAAAATATGAACTAGAGGGCCGGTGTACAGATTCATGCACTGGTGGGGTCCTTCAGCTTGCCCGCAGGGATCTTTTTAATGTTCAGTTCATTAACATCCTGTCCCTCCTGCTCTGTGTATATAGTTTGACAGTTCTCTGCCTTTACACAGTTCTGATAAGCAGCAAAGAGGAGGCTTTTGTATATAATACCTTATGTAAATGCCTTATATTTTAGAATTTTAACTTTCTTCGGTAATAGTGGAAAGAAGGGAGAAAACCTCTTTTGTAGAATTTTCCACAAAGAATAAAAAAACCTTTTTTTGTAGAAAGAGCATTAAGTAAGGAATTAGAAGGCCTGAACTCCTACCATTGCTCTGTTTTCTAGTTATGTAATTTTTGAAGAAATCATTTACTTATGTATTTACTGAGTATTTTTTATGTGGTAGGCATTGAATAGGGGACTGGATGTAAAAATAAATGAAAAAAACATAGATTTCATGGAGCTTTTATTTTCTGCTAGGGGAATGTAGACATTAATTATAGTCACACAGATGCTTGATTATCACATAATATCGATTAATGAAGAAGTGGCAAAAGAACCCTTCTGAGCCCTGGTTTTCATATCTGTAAAATGATACTAAATGCATACTTCATAAAATGATTGAGATGATCAATTAAGATAAATATTTATGTAAACACCAATCTAGAATATTATTAAAATTATGGTATAGTTTCCTCACATTTATTTACATTTAATTTTACATTTCATTTGTGGAAATATATGACCAGGTAATTTCTTACACAAAATATTTTGTTACTCAAATGATAGCTAAATTCTGTTTCTTTTTAGGTTTAATTTAAAAAGAAAAAATGTTGGAAGTAAATTACCTTAACTTCTGTAAGGACCTTAACCTTTGGTATAAATTCACAGCAAGAATTAAACTATTTGACAATATGTGTTTAAGGATAGTATCTAAAGCAAAGTCAAGTTCTGGGAAGTTTTACTCAAACCTTAAGTAGATGCCAGCTAGGAACATGAATGGGAAATTGTTTTTATCCAAATTCCTGTGTTGATCCCTCCCATTTCTTGTTTCTTTGGCAGCTTATTCTCTCCACTTGGGAAGGAGGCTACAACCTTCAGTGTCAGGACCTCGCCAGTGCAGGGGAGGCGGACGTCCGGGTGAGCCTGAGGAGCAGCTCTGCTGCCTGTACCTTTCCTGTGAAAAGACCAGAAGGCTCCCCCTCATCGCTGTGAGGATGGGGGCTTGGTAGATGCGAAAGGCACTCCTGTTCTAATAGAAATGTTTGGTAGCAAAAATGCTTTTCAAACGGCCGACCGTGAGAGACAGACTGAACACACTGTGCTCTGCCCACGTAATGGGCCTCTTTCAGTGTGGAGAGAGCGGGTCTCTGCACTGTCACTGAACCCTCCGGGGCATGGCTACGTGAAGAGAAGCAGCCTGGATAGCTCTTGTTTACAGTGTAGTAATTTTTGTACGAGAAATGATATGAATACATGTGTGTATAGCTCATGTTTTTTAAAGAAAACAATGGCAGAATAAACCAAAAGCGAACAAAGTGGTTTCATTTGGGGAAGGGAACAATGAAGAGGGGCCAGGCTAGAAGCTGGACTTCTCTTAATGTGCACTGTATTACATTTGACTTTGGAACACCATTAAGTGTTTTACATAATTATAAAACAAAACTAAATCTAAAAAAAAAAAAAAGCAGATCAGCTTCCCAAAAGAAACTTAAAAATAAAATAAATTAATATACCATATATTAAGTTGATGACATAGTCAGCCAAAGAAGAATTATTCCAAGTAACATTAAAATACAGTGTTTTGACGGGGCATCACTAGTGAGATATATCTTATCAGTATTCAGTAACTTTTTATTGCTATTAATAAAAATATTGATATTGCTTTTTTGAGAGTGTTATAGGTACAGAGTAGGATAAAGTAATTATACAATAATGTTAATATCATTACAACTACTATTAAAACACAAAAGAGAGATCAGTAAAAAATTTAAATGAAACACCATAATCAAATTGGAACTATCAGAACTAACTTGATTCTTTATAAAACAAACATGTTTTTAGCTTTCTGTAGAATAGGCCTAGTTAGTCTGTGCAGTAGAATGAGCAGAGAATCCTCAGATTGTGTTCTCTAAGTACTTTTCCACCAGAAGGGATAGGTTCTTAGCGAATTAGACAGCTTTTGGTTTGGGTGGGAAATGTGCATGGGAGAATCCAGGAACCCTCATGGCAGAGAGCCAGGGAATAGCCAAGGCTGCTAGTCGACAAAAGATCCAGGCGCCTCCTGGACAGCACACCCACTGCTGAATGTGGGCAGTGTGAGTATCCAAAGGAACACCGAGTGCAGTGGATTGAAACATATTAAATTTATTTTAGAAACCACGAGCTTAGTCCTAACCGGTTTGGCTCAGTGGATAGAGCATCGGCCTGCGGACTCAAGGATCCCAGGTTCGATTCAGGTCAAGGGCATGTACCTTAGTTGCAGGCACATCCCCAGAAAGGGGTGTGCAAGAGGCAGCTGATCGATATTTCTCTCTCATTGATGTTTCTAACTCTCTATCCCTCTCCCTTCCTTTCTGTAAAAAAAAAAAATCAATAAAATATATTTAAAAAACAAAAAAGAAACCACAAGCTTAAAATGATACTAAAAAACCTTAATTGTTTTTTGAAGGTTGCAAAACACCAACTCATTGTCTAAAATAAAAATTAAAGGGAAAGAATCAAACGTTTTCTTGCCTTTCATGTGTGCATCTCCAAAGAGGAAGAGTTCTTCCTATAAGAAGAGCAAAGGCATGAGGAACATGAGAATTGAAATCATCCGTTTGGCACACCTCCTGAAGTCATGGATCTAGACAGCAGGGATGAGGAAATGATAAAACTGTTGGGTGAAAGTTGAATGGAAAGGATTGGATTATGCTGTTAACACCTGAACTCACTGTACAGGAGTACCTCTTTGTTGTGGACTTCAGAGGCAGCCAGCTGCTTCAGGATGAAGCTGAACATCTTTTTCCCAGCACCTGGCTGACAGAGACTCATTGAAGTGGACGATGAACGCGAACTCAGAAAGAAGCGTATGGCCACAGAAGTTGCTGCTGACACTCTGGATGAAGATTGGAGGGCTGTGTGGTTTGAATTAGTGGTGGAAATGAAAAAACAAGGTTTCCCCACTAACCAGGTGTCTATTGGCCATGGCTGCTGGCTGCTGAACTGTTATAGATCAAGAACTGGAGAGAGAGAGAGAGAGCGCGAGCGCTAGCGCACAGATCTGTTTGGGTGTCAATCTGAGTTCTCAACCTGGTCATCATAAAATATGACCAAGAGAAATATTCCTGGAGAAAGATTTATTCTGGTTGTTCCGATACTGCTGTGCCTCGTCTTCTGAGGCCCAAAAGAGCTAGCAGAATCTGCAGACTTTTCAGTCTCTGAGGAAGATGACATCCACCAATATGTTGTGAGAAAGAAGATTAAAAATCTCAGACCAAAGCACCCGAGATTCAGTGTCCTGTTACTCCATGTGCCCTTCATCACAAACAATGTGCTAAGAAAAATAAGAAAGAGGCTGCAAAGTATGCTAAACTTCTGCCCGAAAGTGAAGGAGGTCAAAGGAAAACTCCAGGAACAGATTGCCAAGAGGCACGGACTGCCTTCTCTGAGAGCTTCTACCTCTAAGGCAGAGTCCAGACAAAAATGGGATTTTCTAAGAGTAATAAATAAGAACAAACTTTTTTAAAAAAGAGAAAACAAGGAAATTGTGTCCCTCTTGATCTAATAGGAAGTTCACAGAACAACTTACAAAGGAATCTTGCCCCCAAATTAAACCTGAATCCAATCAAACTTCTAAGTGCTAGTTACAGAAAATGTGGGGGATGGAAAAACAAATAACACCAGCAAAAAACAGTCATCCAAATCCATAATAATATTAGAATTCTCTACAACAGCTGATCTAACTTTTTTAAGAATAAAAGGCATGAAAGAAAAGTGGGGAGCACGGAAAGGGAGAGTTATTGATTAGAAGAGACTTAAGAACCCATGGAAAAAAATGCAGGCTGGACCTTGTTTGGACCCTGATTTAAACAAATCCTATATAATAAAAGAGTAATATGCAAATTGACCCTAACGGCACAATGACCAGAACGACTGCTCAACCAGTTTCTATGAGGCGCACTAACCACCTCTCGGTTCCTTCCCCCGGTCATCAGGCTCCCATCGCCCAATGATGAATGGGGAGCCAGGGTGGATGGCGGTAGGGGCCGGGCCAGCTGCGGGCAGCTGGGGAAGATGGCCCTGATTGCAGACTAGCCTTAGGGACTGTACCTGCACACGAATTTCATGTGCCGGGCCTCTAGTTATTTATCAAGAGACATTTTTGAGATAGATTTGCACATGGACAAGGCTGTTAGAAGATAATAAGGAAATACTAATTTTATTAGATAATGTCATTGTGGTTATATGCAAAAAAAACCTCACTATTAGTAGTTTTTATAGATAAAATAATATTTTGGATTTTCTTATATGCTACACACACACACACACAAAGTGATGGGAAATAGAATTGATTCAACAAATTTGAAATCATATTGAAAATTTTTGAAATTCAGTGATAGATGCCACAAATTTTATTATACTTGTTCTCCTTGCACTTCTGAATGCTTAAAAATTTTTCATAATAAAAAACGGTTATTAATAAGAGAGGTGGTGGAAGTCCTTTCAATTAAAATATGTACATTTTTAAGCATCTTCAAAGCAAAAAAGAAAGCTATATCGATATCTCTACACCCATTTTATTTCTGATATCTCTTCATAGACCAGTACACTTTGGGATACCTTACAGTCCTCCAAAGGTCATTGTTGCATCTATGTCTTGTATGTATTTATGGTTTAATTTTTTTGGATTAATATTTTGAAGATTTATTGCTACCTCAAACATTAAGAAGCCACCACATCATATCTTCTTGAAAATAGACAGCATGTATGCTAACTTCACAGTTCCTGTTATTTACGTAGTGTCTCCTCTCATGTTGACATGTAAGCGCTGAGAGGCTCAGAGGGAAGGGAAGTAGTGCTCACGACCTACTGCCAGTGAGGAAGAAAAGCATCTTGATTTTAAATCTTTTATTTTAAGGAAGAGGCATGGAAGAAGTCACAGACTGCTCCTGGGTACTATAAGTTTAGGAGACACATGTACGTTAGAGGAATAGATTACAAGTGAAATCTAGTGTAACCAACAGTAGTGATCTGTTGAGTGTGAGGCCCAGAACAAAGATGAGACAGTCTGTCTTCACGTGGTTTGCATTCTTTTGGGAAAGGTAGATTCAAAACACTGACTACACTCTATGTGGTTATTAAAAGAAGCATAAAATAATTTGGGAATATAAATGAAGAAGCAGTTGGTTCAGCCTAAGAAAGGGTAGAGCTCCAGAGAAGGGTGGTTTAAGAGGAGTGTGCACTGGTTCTGTAGTAAGGGGAGTAGCTTGATCAGACACGTATTTTGAAAGATGATGCTAGAGTAGTTGGAATGCTGAGAATAAGGGAAAACGGAGGCAGAGACGCCAGGCAGACACTCTTGCTGGTCTGACAGAAATGCGTGCAGTGGGGTGCCGGACACAGGATGCTGAGCGGGAGGGCAGCTCGGGGCACGTTTTCATTGCTCACCTTTTATTTTTTCCATTTTACATTTTTTACAGGTAGCCAAGGTGTTGTGGTGGTACTACTTTTCCAAATTAATAGAGTTCCTGGACACGATTTTCTTTGTTTTGCGGAAAAAAACCAGTCAAATTACTTTTCTTCATGTGTATCATCATGCCTCTATGTTTAACATCTGGTGGTGTGTTTTGAACTGGATACCTTGTGGGCAAAGTAAGTAATTTTGTTAACTTTTTCAGTTCTATGTAATGGATCTTACAAGGCCTCTGGTGTGTCTCTTATGTTAAGCATTGCATGCAGAAGATAAATAAAAATTTACAAAGTCCAAGTAGCATATCCAAGAGAACTTAGCTAAGAGGGGTTTGTGTAGCACCACTGTATCTTTAAATAGGATTGATGGCTTGCAGACCAGCCCTCTGGGCCCCAAACTCACACACAGAACAGAACGCAGCCCAAAGTGAACACTAGTAAGCACTGTAAACATATTGATTGAGTTAAGCCTCATAATAAATAGTGAGCTCCCTGTTTCCAACAAATAATCCCTCTGACATCTTCCCTCTCACAACTACATCTTTTCTTCCCTTAGTTGACCAACATAGAACTTGGTCATTTCCCCTTGGTGTCCTGAAACACCGTTCACCACGCTGGGGGCAGTGTAGGAGGATGCCGTGAAGATTGTGGCAGGACTGGGAGAGTTTCTGCACAGCCAGCACGGCAGATGTCCTAAAATCGGATTTTACAGTCCTTTTTTTTTTTTTTAAATATATATTTTATTGATTTTATACAGAGAGGAAGAGAGAGAGATAGAGAGTTAGAAACATCGATGAGAGAGAATCATCGATCAGCTACCTCTTGCACACCCCCTACTGGGGAAGTGCCCGCAACCAAGATACATGCCCTTGACCGGAATCGAACCCGGGACCCTTCAGTTCCCAAGCCAACGCTCTATCCATTGAGCCAAACCGGTTTTGGCGGATTTTACAGTCTTGTCCTTTAGTCCATGAGTTGGCCCATCTCCTTAGTCCCAGCCTTTCCTCATCCTGCTGGCTCTTCTTTCCCCCCCCCCCCCCCCCCCCCGACATTTGCTCCCCTTCCCCACCATCTCCTGGTTCTTAGGTTTCTTTCAAGTAGATTTTATTTACTTAATTATGAAGACCAACATATTTCCCTTGATTCTTGAGTAGCCTCTTCAGCCATGTCCTGAGGGCTCTCTTTCTTTTCTTTTTTATCCGTACCGGGGGATATTTTTTCCATTGATTTTTTTTTTTAAGAGAGAGGGAGGGAGGGAGGGGGGGGAGAGAGGGGGGAGGGATGGGAGAGGGGAGGAGGGAAGGGGGAGGGAAGGGGGAGGGGGAGGGGGATAGAGGGAGAGAGGGGAGAGGGGGGAGGGGAGGGGGAGGGAGGGAGGGCGGGAGGGGGGGGAGGGAGGGGAGAGGAAAGGGAATATCCATCTGTGTGAGACACATGGATTGGTTGCTCCCTCGCCTCCCACAAGTGCCCCTGACCAGGGCCAGGGACGGAGCCTCCAACCAAGGCGTGTGCCCTTGACCAGAAATCGAACCTGCTGACGTTTCAGTCCTAGGACCAAGCTGGCCAGGCCTGAAGGCTCTCTTTCTATAGCCAGAATGGCTCACCTAAGATTTAGCTAAAGCAGATACTTCTGTCATTGGCTTTAAGCTAACTTTTTTTCCCCTCCATGATTAGCTAACAGTAAAACCTTTCTCTTTAACAATAAAGCCTTTGCACAGCAAGAATTACTGGTTTGGTTTAGTCCTGTTAGGTGACTTGCTGAATCCTGGAGTGATGGCACAGTAATCAGGGAGTTTATGAGTGTGAACTGTTAGTGTCATATTGTTATTCACCTTCATGATGAGCAGGAAGGATCTCACTTGACAAAGAATGAACAATCTTACTTTCTAGAAGAGCAGTAATTCCTGTGTGTTACTTTCATAGGTTTCTTTGGACCCACTCTGAACAGTTTTATCCACATTCTTATGTACTCCTACTACGGACTGTCCGTGTTTCCGTCGATGCACAAGTATCTGTGGTGGAAGAAATACCTCACCCAGGCTCAGCTGGTATGTCCTCCCTCCCTTCAGCTCTTCTCCCGGTGAAGTTCCTAAATATCCACATGTGTTGGGAAAGGTCATAGCAAACCCAGACTTCCTAGATGTGACAAAAACGCCCATTTTCTCTAACGACACTATGATGAAGGAAATCTTGCATGCTAAAAACATCCTTTTTGTGTGTAACTAGCTTATTTCTTGTTTTGGAATATAGACAGCTCTTTTTAAATTAATGTCATTGTTAAATCATTTTAACTGCTACTTTTCCATGATAAAAGTAGTGAGTAATTAAGTGAGCAATTATAGTTGCATACTAATAAAATTTCTGGATAGGATAGCCTGCTTTAGCATTTTTTTGCTTTATTCTTATACAATTTAAGGAATCAAAGTAGTTGATCTCTAGATGTGCAGAACTTGGCAGTGGTCCCATGCTCGGCTGGTTCCCTCACGGGGTGCCCTTCCCGCCTGCCTTCCAGGTGCAGTTCGTGCTCACCATCACCCACACCTTGAGTGCCGTTGTGAAACCCTGCGGCTTCCCCTTCGGGTGTCTGATCTTCCAGTCTTCCTACATGCTCACCTTAGTCATCCTCTTCCTAAACTTCTACTTCCAGGTAAGTTACGTGTAAGCGTTCAGTGGTAAAACGTAAGAGACTGCGCTTCTCCATTACATATGTGTTTAGTTTTACTGATTAAATATCACAGTAGCACATGTTTGTTGATAAATTCAAATAACAGAGATGCACAAAATAAAAATGAAACCTTCATCCCTAACTCCTCTCTCAGCGAAGGAAGTCCTCCTCAGAGGATAACTTATCCAGTGTCAGTTGAGTGGGCATTCTGCTAGACAGTTTTCAATGTATACATATAGTTTTATTAAATAGTATGCATTTGTATCATACATTTGCACTTGTCTACCAAAGCTGAAGTCAAAAAGTTAAACATTGTGTACAGTAAGACGGATCCAGGAAATGTATGTGAATGAAGAAAAACATGGGCTACATGTACCCTGTTTCCCCGAAAATAAGACAGTGTCTTATATTAATTTTTTCTCCCAAAGTTGGGCTAGGTCTTATTTTCAGGGGATGTCTTATCTTCCCATGTGCTAGGTCTTATTTTCGGGGAAACACGGTATTTAATATTAAAAAATTATTTCCATACCAGCTACTGTGATGGTATAGACTCACTGTTTCCTTGGAAAACATTATTTTAAGGCAAATGAGTATGCAAAGGTCACATTGACTTTTTCTTGAGTGTCATTTTAGAGGGAGGGAGAGGAAAGAAGAGAGGGAGGGAGAGAGAGAGAGAGAGAAGCATTGATATAAAGCGAAACATCGATTGGTTGCTTTTGGGCACTTCCCAACCGGGACAGACCCGCAACCTATGTGACCTGACCAGGAATAGAACCGTCAACTTTACACAGAACTGTCACCTGGTGCACAGATGACGCTCCATCCAACTAAGCTACCCCTCCAGGACAGGTGTTATTTTCTTTTTAATTAACAATTTAAAGGGAGGAGAGCTTCAAAATGCAATTTCAAAGCAACTTTGTGATATCAGAACTGATAAAGTGGTAACCCGCACAGGCCTCAGGTGGTCGTAGGTTTATTTTATTTTTTAAATATATATTTTTTTATTTATTTTAGAGAGGAAGGGAAAGGGAGAGATAGAAGCATTAATGATGAGGAAAAAATCATTGATTGGCTGCCTCCTGCATGCCCCGTGCTGGGGATTGAGCTCACTATCCAGGCAAGTGCCCTGACCAGGAATCCAACTGTGACGGCCTGATTTATATGTCCACACTCAACCACTTAGACGCACTGGCTGAGCTGGTTTAGGTTTAAATTTCTCTCCTCTGTGGGCTGGAGAAATAGAAAACTTCATGAAGAAGAAAAAAAAGAGGATATTTATGTTCAAAATAGTACTTTTGAAAATGTATTCAGCTGTATTTTCTTCTTCTTTAGACATACAAGTGCTTTCTGATTTTTTAGTTTCCATTTGTTGAAAGTCAACCCGTAGTATTTTATACAAAGTACAACTGTGGGAACTGAACTTTGGACAGTTTTTCAGCTCTTTGTTTCTGAAAGTAGACTGGCTAGGCTTTGTCTGTTGTAAGAGATAAAAGTTTCCTTTGAGAATTTCTAAAGAAATAGCCATTGATAGAACCAAACAAAGCCATGGGGGTGGGGTGGAGTGGGGTGGGGTCGAGTTAGGTCGGATGGGGGGAGGGGTAAGGGGGCTGAATGTTGAAGGACAGCTAAGGGAGTCATTTTGGTGTTGAAACTTGAAGAGAAACACATAGCCCAGCAAGGATTGCCAATGGCACTCAGAGCTTTAACTACTTGATTCAATTGAATCTTAGTCTTTTAAAGTTGAGTATATTTTCTTAGTCTTAACCCTTAATACCATTGTTTTAAAAAATAAAAAAGATAAAAATGAGATGGGATTAGATATTTTGTCAGAAGAGCAAAGATATGCCAAAACCCAAATCAAGCAAAGCCCCAGGTACTAGTACAGCACATTTTCACTTGAATTGTATTTTTGTTTAATTATGTCCTTAAGTCCTGGGGATGTAATGTTGTGCATGGTGACTGTAGGTAATAATACTGTGTTTCATATTTGTAAGTTGCTAAGATAGTAGATCTTAAAAGCTCTCATCACAGGCCCTGGCCGGTGTTACTCAATGAGTCGGCCTGAGCACCAAAAGGTCTTGGGTTCAGTTCCTGGTCACAGGCACGTACCTCAGTTGCAGTTTCGATCAGGGTCTTGCAAGAGACAACTAGTCAATGTGTCTCTCTTATCTCTCTCTCTTTCTCCCTTCCTCCCTCTCCCTCCCTCTTTCCCCCCTTCTTTCCCCCGCTTCACCCTTCATCCCTCCCTTCCACTTTCTTTAAAAAGCAATGGAAAAAATATCCTCAGGTGAGGATCAAAAAAAGTATATGTTTTCATCACAAGAAAAAAGTTGTGTGGTGATAGATGTGAACTAGACTTATTGTGGCGATAATTTCACAATATAAACAAATATTAAATTAGGTAGCTCTATAAACTTAAGATAATGTATGTCAGTTATTCCTCAATTAAATATATATATGCTTTCCATGTAAGCAACTAATGCAGAATAAATTAAATGCTAATCCCATAATACATAAGTACTATGCTCATAAGGTGAAAGAAACAACCTTTCATTAGAATTCATACATATGTCCTGTTTTCACCCTATTTTTATTTTTAACCAAAAGCTTTTTAAAAAAATAATTGATAGCCTTATTTTTAGTAGTTTAGATTTACAGTACTGAGCAGGTAGTACAGAATTCCCATGTACCCCCTCACCCCATCAGTTCCTCCTATTCGCATTTAGTATTGTGTTGCATTTGTTACAATTGATAAGCCAATATCGACACATTACTAACTATAGTCCAGGGTTTACATTTCCCTCTTTGTGTTGTACATTCTATGGATTTTGACAAATGCATAAAGTCATTTCCTGCAGAACATAAGCCTCTGCTTTTCACAGCTTCACTCCAGTCCCCACATTTGTTCTGGGCCCTTTCCCACGGCTGCAGTGCCTTCACGTGCTGCTCCTGCTCCCAGGCGGGCTGTCTGGGCTGCCCGTGCCCCAGGGACGCGCAGCACTCCTGAGCTGTCACTGCCTTGTGTTCCTGCTACTGTAGATCCAGAAGCTTTAAAATTGTCACGTTAAAACAAGAATTCTTATTACTAGTACAAAGTCCAGTACCCAAGAAAATCATACTATTTTAGACTATCTGCCACTTTAGAGACGTCTTATTAAAGAATCCTTTTCTTTTTTCTCTTCAAAATGTACACATCCTACAGACATACCGAAAAAAGCCAATGAAGAAAGAGACGGAAGAGTTACCAGCAGGGAAAGAAGTTAAGAATGGTTTCTCCAAAGCCTACTTCACTGCAGCTAACGGGGTGCTGAACAAGAAGGCACAGTAATATTGAGCAGCAGGCAGCATATATAATGGCCTAACAGATTCGCTTGCTCTTGGGCAAGGACTGAATTGAAAGTTATATATGCTTTAGCATACACTAACTTCTTTGAGTTTATAAATCATTTGTACCAGAATGTATTAATATCTTGCTATGAGGTTAATCAGTTAATTGAGTGCTTCTGTCAGCATTGAGGTGAACTCTGCAGCCCTCCCACTGGTGCCTCTCCCCCACCCCACCCCCCCACACACACACCTGCCCCTCACAGGAGCTCTTCCCGCTGCCTCCTCACAGCCAGGGAGCAGGGCACTGTCTGTCACAGTAGGTCTTCAGATAAAAAGTTAACAATTTGTCCTCATGAAAATGTTTAAAAGAAAATGTTAGTTACCTCCCAGGTACAGGGTGTGTTCTAATCTACATGAAGCAATAATTGTCAGTGCATAAAGGAATTAGTCCCTCTGTTCCTTTAGGGATCAACCCCCAGAAGATGTTAAAAGAGGATTATAAATGGAGAAGCTAACAAAACTTTAAGCTGGATCTGTCAAATTCCCACAACTATTCCTAACTTTCAACACAGTAATATGGTGATGAAACCTGAGAAAAAATCCTCTGCCAAATCCTCGTAGCTCAGGGGCTTTGAATAGTTGTTCCTCAGTTTTAATTTGGTTTCCTTGATTATTCATGTCTACCTCTCATGCTAAGTTGCCTCGGTTAGGATACATACAGACACAGTGCTCAGAGTTCCAAAGCAGATCTAAACCTGGCAGCCTGTTGCTTTCTGAACAAGGACTCGCATCCAGTCTGCCCTTTTCCTTGGATACGCCTCTGGGACATTTATAAATCAGAACTCACAGAGCTTTGGGGGGGAAGAGACATTGAACCCTTTGTGAATATTGCTCCTTATTACCTGCTATCAGTCTTATGCCGGTTAAATTTTTGAAAAGGTAACTAAAAATTGGAGGATGATAGAAAGATTTCAACACTGAGCCATGGACTGGTAAAGAGCCAGGCCAAAAAGTGCCGATTTGGCAAACTCAGCCCTCCTTTCCTGGTTCTGTCATACAATCTGGACCAAGAATCCGGCACAAAAGCACAGAAGTCATCACTGGACAGTTCCATCCTGCTCCACGTGCGGGACAGGTGCTCACTGTCACGTTGTACCAAGAGCGGAAGCAGGATGTTTTCTGAAGACCTGATGAAGATTCATACCCTGTGAAGTGTTGTTATCCCCTGCACCTTCTTTTTGAGATGTTTTAGGTCATAACGTTGACATCCAATGCTTAAGTGCCAGGAAGGCATTGTCTCCATTGCCCCAGCGCGCTCCAGTCTGTCTGGGAGTGCCTGGCTGCCCTCTTTGGCCTTTTTTTTTCTTTTTTTTCTTTTTTTCTTTTTTTTCCTGAGCTCTAGTTTTTAAATTATTTTTCCTGTTTAAAAAATGAAAACACAACTTTTGTACTGACACTGTACCCTGACATCGTACTGACTTTTTTATCTTCTCTTTCATGTAAACTACCCATTTAGGATTCCGGCCCATGGTGGTCAGGGACTGAGCTAGACTAGTGTCCCTGGGAAAGGTTGGACCTAACATTCCCTTCTCTACTTGTTGACCCATTTCTGTTGAACAGACATCTCTGGCTGATGCCCACCTGTCTTGGGTTTATTTCTCTAAGTAGTTTTCTAATAATGACTTGCTCCAGGGTGCTTACTCCCCCTCCCATCACAGTATAACTGTGTGTTAAAGACTGTTCTCTCCCAGAAACTCATTTTAAAACAAGGGCTAACTTCGAGTATGACTGTCACTGCTCCTCTCTGACCAGCCCAAGTTGGACCAAGGAGAAAGCCCTTGTGCAACTGGACTCAAGTTGTTTTAGGTCTCAGACGTGGCTAAAATCTGTTCTCAAAGTAGTTCCAGGTAAAGATGAGATCCCAAGAGAAGGCAGACATGCTGGTCGTTCACTCATTCAGCTTATTATTCTACCATAGCTGCAGTTCTGGGTGCTCTTCCCCGCAGAGCAAGGAGGCAGCTCTGTGACACAGCCAAGGCGCTCTCTGGGCAGAGCGCAGGACCCTCTCAGATCAAAGGGAGAGCTTGAGTAGTTGACCCTTTCAAGCTCAGTTTAGTTGAGGTTTCAGGATGCTTATTCCCCATTGGTCTTTAGTCCTAGAAAAGCTTGATAAAAACTTGTAGCCTTAAACCACTCAAGGGCCAGTTAAATTATACAGAGTTATGAATTCTTAGCCACAAAAATTGAGTCATTGTGTTGCAACTTTAAAAAAACACAATGTTTATTTTTAATGTGATTTTCCTAAACACAAAACTATTTTTAAAAATCTATGTAATCTGTTTAAAAAGATGGAAAACTGTTTTTTCCTAAATGAATTTCCTTTTCTAGGAATGAAAACACTTATAAGCATATCTGCTAATTTACCCAATTTTTAAACTAACAGAATAAAACATTTACTTAATGGAATTAAAAGTGTAAATTTTCTATCCTTCAAAATTATATATTGTGTTACTTGTCATATTGGGGGTAAAGCCTCCCACTCCCATGGGAAAGGCATTGCTTATTTTTATTTTAAGGCAGAATGGCCTACACTGCGATGGGCAGAGCAGCACCTTGTAAGGACCATCTGGTACTCTGATATTTCCATGTCATTTCATGATGTTTTGGGGGGCTTCCTTATTTGAGAAATAAGACTCTTTTGTTTATAATCTCTCTGTTGTTTTCTTTTAAAGGTACTTATATCGTAAGAACATAGTATCATGATTGGGGTGTGCAGGGAGGCAGGAGAAGCCATTTTTCTTTGTAGATAGATAAAAAGCATTCTGTATGATTGTTGTATAATAAATTGATTTTTACACTAAAGTAAGCATATTGTGATTTTTCTTACCTGGTTAAAATGTGTGTTTGCATGGGATTCCAAATGACCTATTATTCAGGATTTTCTAAACAATAAAGTAATATTTTAGCAATTCATTTTAGGCATTTAATTTCTCTTTCATTTCAGTAAGCAGTGAGCTTTTCTTTATGTGACATTACTGCCTTTATATAGTATTCATATATCCAGTTAAACTATTTCAGAAACTAGTCATTCACAAGAAAAATCTAAAGCCAGTTAGATAAAGCAGAGGATATAAAGGTATAACAAACATCCCACTATGCAGAATAACCTGGAAGGAGCGCTGGGGGTTAAGGAGACTATATTAGGCACAGACAGCACTGTCTGATGCTGGATCCCGGGGCTGGAGCCTAGTCAGGCAGCTCAGGAGTGGGCATGAGCTGAGACTTGACCATGGTGGAGCTTGGGAGAGACTGAAGTCAAGGTTGTGGACAGGATCACAGATTGGCAGTGTCAATGCAGAGAGAAGAGTTTTCAATGTGATATTAAGGAGAACAAGACACGCGTCCAAAAATAGCTATAAAAGATGTGTTCAAAGTCTGCTTATGAAGCTGGTTAAATTCCTGGAGTGTAGCTGGGGTGGGCAGGATATGTTAAGGAAAGGCAGGCGGGAAGAGAGAGTGGATGATGGCACCAAAGAGAGAAACTTCATGCTAACAATCTGAATGGCAGCTAGGGTATGGGAGTCAAAGAGTGGACATTTTCGCCGAAACTGGTTTGGCTCAAAGGATAGAGTGTCGGCCTGCGGACTGGAAAGTCCCGGTTTCGATTCCGGTCAAGAGCATGTACATTGGTTGCGGGCACATGCCTGGTAAGGGGTGTGCAGGAGGCAGCTGGTCGATGATTCTCTCTCATTGATGTTTCTAGCTATCTCCCCCTCTCCCTTCCTCTCTGTGAAAAATCAATAAAATAAAATAAAAAATAAAAATAAAGAGTGGACATTTTCTTTTTTTTTTAAATACATTTTGTTGATTTTTTACAGAGAGGAAGGGAGAGAGATAGAGAGAAACATCGATGAGAGAGAAACATCGACCAGCTGCCTCTTGCACACTCCCTACCGGGGATGTACCCACAACCAATGTACATGCCCTTGACAGGAATCGAACCTGGGACCTTTCAGTCCACAGACCCATGCTCTATCCACTGAGCCAAACCGGTTTCGGCAAGAGTGGACATTTTCAAGCCCTTAACCTAAAGGGCTTTCACTATTTTTTTTAATTGGTTGATTTTAGGGGGAGGGAGAGAGAGAGAAAAACATCGTTCCACTTTATGCATGCATTGGTTGCTTTTCGTATGTGCCCCGACCAGAGATCGAACCTGCAACCTTGGTGTATTGGGATGACACTCCAACCATCTGAGCTACCCGGCCAGGGAAGGCTTTCGTTATTTTAAACAAGGTGTAACCAAGTCATTGGAACTTTGTGCTTAAGAATAAAAGACAAAGTCTGTGTCTCAATGGCAAGGCCTAATAGCCATCATTGCAAATTAAAAGCTGTTTATACATGGTAAATGTTCACCTAAGGAAATTTCATAGTTTCTTTATGTAAAGAAAAATTTAGTATGTGTTTTTCAGCAGGCATTCTTCAAAATCAAGTTAAATACATTTGTGTATTTAAGGAAGATTTCCACTCTAGGGCACACAAAGAAAAAAATCACTCTTCCAAGACTAATTACAGTCCCTTAAGGCCCAAGATATCCCTTGACCTTCAGTGAACATGACTCAGTCGTGGAGGAGGGAAAAGCTGTTGATTTGTATGTCAATTTTCTGTCTTAAGAAACTGCGCTGAGGGAACATTGGAGTGATACTAGAAGGACAAGTAAATCTAAAACCCATGCGCTCACTGAGCCATTTGTGCTAGGTGTCTGGTTAATAACAGTGGATTTTGTAATCAAAGAAAACAGGATAATTTCAAGAGAAACATCAAAAGTGCTTTAGCAGTATTAATAAATAAGGAAACTTCATTGAATCTACCTTGTCTAGTGCTGTATATTACACTAGGGAACAGAAGTGACCCAGATGAACTATCTGCCCTTAAAGTCATACCTGGTAAAGTAGATGGAGAAACATCCTATATAATAAAGGCTAATATGCAAATTGACCAAACAGCAGTACGACCGGTCACTATGATGCACACTGACCATCTGGGAGCAGATGGTCGGCGCAGGAGTTGCCCCCTGATGGTCAGTGGGCTCCCACAGGGGAAGCACCACTCAGCCAGCAGCCAGGCTCATGGGTGGTGAGTGAGCGGCGGAGCCTCTCCTGCCTCCGCAGCGAGAGGAAGGACGTCCGACTGACAGCTTAGGCCCACTACCTGCAGAGAGTGGGCCTAAGCTGTCAGTCAGACATCCCCCGAGGGCTCCAGGACTGAGGGTTCCCTCCAAGTACAGGAATTTTATTCACCAGGCCTCTAGTTTAGTTGTAACCTAATAGAAATATTGAAAGCAGCTTAGAAAACTTTCCTAAAGGAGATAATGCCTGAGCTTAGTTTTGATGAGTGAGCAATTCTCCCAATATCCAAGGCAGGAGCTTTGTTCAAGGAAATTCCAGAGGTAAACACAATTCTAATGGGAGTCACCATTCTTTCAACAAGTATTCTTTTTTTTTTTTCTTTTTTTTTTTTAAATATATTTTATTGATTTTTTACAGAGAGGAAGAGAGAGAGATAGAGAGTTTGAAACATCGATGAGAGAGAATCATTGATCAGCTGCCTCTTGCACCACCCCTACTGGGGATGTGCCCGCAACCAAGGTACATGCCCTTGACCGGAGTTGAACCCTGGACCTTTCAGTCAGCAGGCCAGCACTCTATCCACTGAGCCAAACTGGTCTCGGCTCAACAAGTATTCTTGAGTGCCTCCCATGTGCCATGTGTTGCCCCAGGGTTTGGAGCTTGGGTACAGTGGACACCTCTTAGTGGGAAGAAAGCCATCACAGTCGGTAAGAAAGCGCTATGTACAAGAACTGTTCTACAGGCCAGATTCACACGCTCACATCGTTTACATGGGGACTGAATGTGAATGCTGAGACCACTACTTATTCCTCAGTAAGCTCATAACATCAACCTACTGTTTCTGGCTTGAGAAAAAATGACAACAATAATTGAAATGACATCGTTAAGTGTGAATAGTTATACTTTTGAATTATATATTATGTTTTTTCTCCTTGTGTTATCAAAAGACTATATTGCCCTATGTCTTAGGGTCCAGACTCAGAGAAGCAGTGGGTCTAGGGGAGACCCACATGGATGTGCAGGGATTTGACATTGTGGTTGTGGGAGCGATCGAGCAGCCTCTGTGAGGCTGTTGTCATCGTGTCTGATGTTGAAACTGAAGTCTACAGGGGAGGCAGTTGGGAAGGGAGGATGGATGTAGAGCAAGAGCAAACCAGAACCACATCGTGAGCCAGAGTCCATGAAGACAAACTGAAACCCGCAGTCTCATTGCCTCCGACCCTGGTGATGAGAGTGTCCTGCAGAAGCCAGGGTCTGTGTCACAGAGCTACCCACACTCCTGGCCTGTGTCACAGAGCTACCCACAGCCCTGGCCTGTGTCACAGAGCTACACACACCCCTGGCCTGTGTCACAGAGCTACACACATGTCTGGCCTGTGTCACAGAGCTACACACACGCCTGGCCTGTGTCACAGAGCTACCCACATCCCTGGCCTGTGTCACAGAGCTACACACACTCCTGGCCAGGAGGGGGAGCTCAGGGATGGTAAGAGAAGGGCGGAGCCTCCCCAGGCTCAGGTGCTGCCTCCCAGCATTGAGTCTAGTTGGCAGATGGGCAACAACTCAAATTTACAACAAGTGGCAGTCTCATTACTCTGCCTCCCAAATTCCCCCACCGGACTCTCTGTGGCCCACCCTAAAAGGCAACACAGAGGAGCAGGGATTCTGAGAAATGGAGCTCAGCTTAGCCAAGTTGCCACACTACAAAGCCACCAGATTCTGTTACACAATAAAAAATGCCTGAGCCAAAAAAGAAAAATCCAGTGGCCCGGTGGGAAAACAGAAAGGCTTTGTTAGCGCTGGGTGCTGAGGAAAGTCATGGCTCTCATCAGTCTTCCTCCGCCACCACGGCAGAGAGGGAGAAAGGTCTCTTTCCTGCCAATGGGGGTGGAACTCGATGCTCTCCACAGGGTCTTCACTGGCACTGTGTGGACGGGAGGCCTCATTACCACCAAGACCAAAGTCCTCACTCTACTCCCTCTCACACCGCGCAGTTTGGGAGGTTGATGTTGGGACCCCCATTAAGTATTTGTGTAGGTGGAAGTCTAGGCTTCTCACTCCACCTTTGCTCACATGACTGGGGAGGAGGCTACGACAGGATCTGTGGCATTTAGCTGGAGCAAAGTGGCTACTGTATAAAAGTCTTCTGTCTGGCCAGGCTACGGTTTTCTGTCTATGCTTTTGTTCCTACTGTTCATGCCTGATGGTATTTTCAA